AAGTCACGGCATCTCGTGACTCGTCCTGTTTCGGTGCATCTCCGCGAGAGACTGTAGTTTGCAACCGGCGGAGGGGAGCACGCATCACCTCTTTTGATCCTTCTGCTGCCACCACCAGCTTCGCTGTTCTGTCGCCTTGCGAGACTTTCGGTTCCGTGGCCTTCTCCGTTCGTCGCTTTACGCGGCGCAACACATCCATCTTCTTAGTACGCTTGCTAGAGTTTTTTTTCTGTCGGACTGATCGAAGATGAATGATCTCACCGAGTACGGGTGGTTCGCAAGGCTACTATCTGATGGGATATAAAAAAGAATAATAAATTTTTTAATGAATCTTAACTTTTTTATTTAAAATTTAAATAATAACTATAATATATGGATTATATCACTATATATAATATCTAAATTATATGTAAGTAATCAAGTAAGAATTTACTATAGATCAGATCTAACATGAGATGAGAACAATCTCTTTGCATTGTTCTTGTCTTCTTTCCTTTCCTTTTCTTATTTTCAATCATTTTCTCCTCTTTTTTGAATCAAGTTATTACTGTAATTTTCTGTCTCGTTACTATAGTTTTTCCTCATTATTTTTACAGCCACCATACTCCCCTTATTAGATCTAGGGTTAAGTGAAAGGGAGGGCGAGCTATGAGTCGTTAAAGCATACTAGCTGAACTCGTGGGTTGTCAACCCAACAATCTTCCCCTTCAGCCCATAAGGGAGGTTGTTTCATGACTCCTCAATATGAAGCCATGCTGATTAGCTGTCGGCATATCTCTGTCTTTCTTTTGGTAAGGTCTTTGTTAACATATCTGCTCCGTTGTTATCTATGTAAATTTTTGAAACTGCAACTGTTTTTCTTTATATACATTTCGAATCCAATGATATTTAACATCTATATGCTTTCACTTGAAATGAAAATTGGATTATTGCACAAATGGATGACACGTTGGCTGTCACAATTCACCACATAGTTTTTCTATTTCAGCCTCAATTCTTGTAAGAATTCTTTCATCTATAACATTTCTTTGCAAACCTCTAAAACAATAATATATTTTGCCTTTGTGGTGGAGAGCAATACACCTTTACAATCTCGATTATCATAACATAACTCCCCATATAAAAATAAGTACAAAACCTAAAGTAGACTTCCTCGCATTAATATCTATTGTTATATCTGCATATATATAACATGTTAACACAAGTGTTCCACCTCCAAAATTTAAACAAACCTTAAAGCTCCCTGTGAAATATTTTAAATATCAACTTCACTGTTGCCCAGTGCTCTTTACCTGAATTTGTAAAAAATCTACTAGTAACACTCACTGCTTATACGATGTCCGACCTCGTACATACCATCACGTATATTAAACTTCTAACTGTTGAAGCATAATGAACTTTTTTGTATTTTCTCTTTCTTCTTGTCACTTGATAGACTTTGTTTTGAGTACAACTTAAAGTGACCTGCAAGAGGAGAACCAACTAGCTTTGCATTGCTCATAATGAACCTTTTTAATATCTTCTCGATGTATTTCTCCTATGACAACCAAATCTTTTTGGTTTTTTTTTCACAGAAAATCTGTATGCCCAGTATTTGCTTTGCTGACCCTATGTCCTTCATTGCAAAAGACTTACTCAGTTTCTTCTTCAACTTGTCAATTGTAAACGTATATTTTCTAAGAATAAGTATGTCATCAACATAAAGTAATAGAATAATAAAATCCTCACCAAACCATTTGATGTACACACAATGATCAGAAGTCATTTATTTGTATTCATTTTCAGTCATAAATGAATCAAATCTTTTGTACCACTATCATGAAGCTTGCTTCAGCCCATACAAGCTCTTCTTCAACTTGTAGATAAAGTTCTCTTTACTTTTAACCTTGAAGCCTTCTGGTTGCTCCATATAAATTTTCTCATTCAAATCACAATTAGGAAAGCTATCTTTACATCCAACTGCTCAACCTTCAAGTCCTGGCTAACAACAATATTAAGAGCAACATGAATAGAAGATATTTTAACAACAGAAGAAAATATCTCTTCAAAGTCAATACCTTTCTTTTGACTAAAGTCTTTCACAACTAATCTAGCTTTGTATTTTGGTTGAGAACAATATTCTTGAATCTTTAACTTGAAAGCTCACTTGTTCTTCAAGGCTTGTAATTCTTCTGTAGAGCATCCATCTTTTCTTGTATAGCAACTAACCAATTTTTTTTTTTTACTTACTTTTAACTGCTTCCTGGTAATTCTCTAGTTCACATAGCAACTAAAGTCATAGCAATTAACCACTTCTTTATTCTTATTTTCAAATGCAAAGCAACTAAAGTCATTTATATATTCTTTGTGTACAATATAAAGATGATCGTAGTGGCTTCATACAAATAACAAATTTGCAAGATTTATAAGTAAATTTAAGAATATGATGAATAAATTCTTTGATCATATGAATTAAACATTCATGTAATTTGCCCTTTAAAGAAAACATTGGCAACATATATACTTTCTTGAATGTATACATTGTTGTGCTAATAGAAAAAAATATTGGCAATCTCATTTATATCTATCTTATAAATATTCATGTGATATTAAAAGATATGGACTGAATGGATAAGATAATATTTATGTAATATAAAAAAAGA